TGCACAACACGCCCTCGGAGACCACGTCTACGGCGGTTTCCTCTCCCGCCTCTATGGACCAGCTGCCTTCGGACGACCCGCACGATTTTTCTTCTCAACAGCTGGCTGACCCCTACTGTCGACGTATTATAGGCTACCTCACTGGCAGTTCCCGTCCACCTAATGCGAGGCTCCGTCGCCAACTCTCGCAGTTTAAGCTGGACAACTCGGTGCTGTACCGCAAAATTTACCATCCTGACGGTCAGCGCTGGGTTCCCGTTCTACCCCGATCACTTCGGTCCGAAGTCCTCAGAGCACTTCATGACCATCCGACGGCAGGTCACCTTGGTTACCACAAAACCTACGATCGCCTTCGAAGTCGGTTTTATTGGCCAGGTATTACCACTAGTGTAGCTCGGTACGTTGGGTCCTGCACTACCTGTCAATCAAGAAAACTACCCACATCTGCTCCAGCTGGTACACTACAGCCTCTTCCGTGCCCAGCCACTCCATTCGAAGTTGTAGGCATCGATCTTTATGGCCCCCTTCCAGTCAGTGCTGCTGGAAACCGATGGATAGTAACAGCCGTTGACCATTTGACGCGCTACGCCGAGACGGCCTCCGTCACTACCGGTTCAGCTTCTGAAATTGCCGATTTCATCCTCCGAGCCATTATACTACGTCATGGTGCTCCACGTGTATTGCTCAGTGACCGTGGAAGGGCCTTCCTTTCACAACTAGTGAACGAACTTCTTCGCGCTTCGGGCTTAACTCACAAGACTGCCTCTAGTTATCATCCCCAAACTAACGGCCTCACTGAGCGATTCCACCGCACTCTTTCTGACATGATCGCCGCCTACATTCAACCGGACCACAAGAACTGGGATGTAATTCTACCATTCGTCACTTTCGCCTACAATACGGCTATTCAGCGGACAACCCGCTACTCACCATTTTACCTAGTTTATGGACGCTCCCCTACTTCTCTCCTGGACGTCTCTTTCTTTACTTGCCATGTGGATTCATCTCCATCCTCTTCAGAGGAATACGTTTTACGGCTCGCAGAAAGCCGCCAACGTGCTCGTATAAACACTGAAGCCCGACAGCAAGACAGAAAGCTGGTTTATGATGAATCCCATCGTGCTGTATCCTTTCAACCTGGAGACGAAGTGCTTCTCTTGACGCCTATTCGCACACCTGGTTTGTGCGACAAATTCCAGCCACGGTTTATTGGGCCGTACACAGTTCTTGAAGAAACTTCACCAGTGAATTATCGTGTGACGCCACTTGTAGCCCCAGCTGATCGCCGTTATCGAACTACTGAGGTCGTCCATGTCTCCCGTATGAAGCCCTTCATGCGACGTTCTTTGTCCCCTTGACTTGCCGCGGCCAGGCTGGCCGCTTTCACGTGGGGGGAATTAGTGTGGGCATTTAGTATACCAATCCTCTTCATCTGTACATTATCATCATTATCATGTGTTGCTCATGCATCCTCATCGTTGTCACGTAGCATCATCATCTTGGTCCGTTCATCTCAGCTGTCGGCTGCCGGTTCTTCGGGCCTAATAAAGGTCTTCCAAACCAAGCCTTCATAATATATATATATATTGAATTACCTTAAAGATAGCACATAAGAAAAGGATCGTATTTACTAACGTTTCGGCCGTGGCACGGCCTTCGTCAGAGTAAGTAGGTATGATACAATGCAGCCGCTTTTATAGGCTCACGTGATGAACTCTCGGTATAGCAGCTAGGACAATCAAAGTAAAAAATGGTAATCTGTCAGGACCTTGTGTTCACATGACTGACATGTGACGGGTGCATAAATATAAAAGTTTCAAATTTCCTTGCGCATCGACACGTGGGGCACAGTATGGTTGGCAGGACATGTAAAAGAGCTCAGAAGTAAAGAAACCACGGTTGACTAATATACAATTTAATATACACTAAAATATTTTACTAATCTACACTAAAATATCTTACTAATCTAAGAAGTCGTGTTGTTATAGTGCGAGGCAGGTGAGCTTTCCTACGTTTTCATTGATACCTGAACGAATGGTGTTAAATTTGTGGATCAAGAAGGATTCCCTCACTTCCCTATCGTGATTTGTCTTAAAACCGGACTGAATAATCGTGGCCCTAATTTTGTCGAAACCATGGCCAGGCATACTGACGTGCTTCGACAGCGGTAGATTAGGGAGGCTTACGGCATGTGCACGGTGATTATTAAAACGGATTCTGAAACTTGTCTCTGTTTGACCTATGTACTGAGCACCGCAAGTTGAACACTCGAGAAGATAGATGACGTTGATACTATCACACGTGTAGTTCCCATTTATCTTTAAAGAAAAACTGGACGATGTACTTGAAACTGTTTTAGATGTCGTCATGTGCGCGCACACTTTGCAACGTGGTTTGTTGCAAGGATGACAGCCTTCATGATGTGAACACGTGGTTTTAGACGAGGTTAGTAAATCACGAAGGTTCCGCGATCGTCGGTAGACCACGCGTGGTTGTTCTGCAAAGATTCCTTTGAGCCGCTCGCTCTGTATTAAAATGTTAAAATGTTTCTTTAAGGTATGGTTCACATTTGGAGCTGAGGCCGCATGTGTCAAAATTAGATTAGTCCGCGAACAATCTTTGGGTCTTTTGTTAGTACTCAGCAAGTCTGAACGGTCGAGCTCTTCTGCACGTTTGATGGCGTCTGTGATTATGCTGGTCGGATAGCTCTGTTTTTCGAGCGCGCTCCGAAGTTGTTCGCAGTGGCGAGAAAATTCGCTGCTATCAGAGCATATTCTTTTAAAACGGACTGCAGTGCTTGGCTGTAGGGAATACTAGTTTTGTTGTGTTTCACGTGACTACTACTAAAGTGAAGATACTGCTGCCTATCCGTGGGTTTCCTGTAAAGATTAGTTATCAGCTTCCCGTTACGTAGAGTGACCATGACATCAAGGAAGCTTATATTCACAGGTGAATATGAGTGCGAAAAAGAAATCGCCGGATGAGCGTTGTTAAGATCTGCTATGAAAGAAAGAAGTTGCGATTCACTATGGTGCCAGATTAGGAAAATGTCGTCGATGAACCGCTTATAGTAAAATGGCTTATATTCACAATTTGCAAGAAATTTGTTTTCAAGGAGCCCCATAAATATGTTTGCGTAGTTTGGTCCGATTCTTGTGCCCATAGATGTACCGCTAACTTGAACATAATGTGTCCCATCAAATTCGAAATTGTTAAGTTCAAGAATGAGCTTAAGCAACGTAGCTAACGTAGATGCGGAAACTAGTTTGTTGGCGTGGCAATCGTTGTACGCGCAGATAACTGCCTCGATGCCATCTGAGTGAGGGATATTAGTATACAGTGACGTGACATCTAACGTAACGAGAAACGAATTTTGAGGAACCTGTAGGTCAACAATATCTGATAGAAAGTGATTGGTATCTTTAATGTAAGAAGAAAAGCTGGGCGGAATGGTGTTGATGAGGCTATCTACATAACGGGAAAGGTTCTCAGTCACTGTTCCAATTCCAGAAATTATCGGTCTACCGGGATTATCTCTCTTCTCTTATGAATTTTGGGAAGAAGGTAAAACCTGGTAAAACCGATATATATATATATATATATATATATATATATATATATATATATATATATATATATATATATATATATATATATATATATATATATATATATATATATATATATATATATATATATATATATATATATATATATATATATATATATATATATATATATATATATATATATATACGAATGCGGGGCGCCCTCCCCACTATTATCTAAAGGGGGCTGCTTACCCGTATCTCAATTAAAACCTTTTAGTTTAGCATTTTCTCTTTTATTTTTACGGAACTGACTACCAAGGACCTGTACGCTGTATTAAAGAATTGCCAAGGTTACTTGACAACGACAAAGAAAAATATAAGAAAAAATTACTGTTGAACAAGTCGGTATGCCATTTTCAAGAAATATGCGCGAAAAACGTGGGCGATGAAAACAGCATTGCGCTTGCGTTGTTCCTTTCTCTTCGTCCACAATTAAATACATTTTTTTTTTGTTTTTTTATCGAACAGCCGTGACTGTTTATTCCTCATCTTTACCCCGTATGGCAGGGAACCAAAGGCAGGTCTCTGTATGAAGTATGTCGTCACTTCATTTTCATTCTTATATCTATTGCCGAGCTTTTTTTTTTTTTTTGGTACCGACAGAGGGGGGTGGGGAAAGACGCTGCCGTGAAACTCCCGCTCCCTCCCCCCCCCCCCTTACTATGGAGAACGCTTCAGAAAGCATGTCTAATGAAGCAGCCGTACAATGTGTAAATCATAATGAAGTAACCACACTGAAGCTGTTCAGATGTCGTTCAGATATCAGCCGTGGCCAGTCGGGCTTCGCATATGTAATGGGACTTGAGAGCTGCAGATATTGATGCATGCAGGGACCCCGTAAACGTGAGAGTTTTGCTTTAAAAAAAAAAGAAAGATTGATAGAGTGAGGAATGTTTTTGTTCGTTGTAGTACAATCGAAAAATTGTAATGTGCACTTTACAATCGCAAAACGGTACGAGCCGCTCGCATCGCAGTGTCGTTGAGTGCAACCGATAGGCGGAGCACGAGCGGTCCGTTCATTAAATATTAGCAGAGCAGATGCCTTGCCTTGAGGCTTAGTTGCAATATCTACTGCACTAGCTATGTCAGGACAAACCCCTCTTCTTTTTTCGCCTACTCTACGAGGGGGCGTTTTTTTTTTTTTTTTTTTTTGCACTAGCACGACAAATCGCAAATATTGTGAATTCAAATCACCCGCTCCTACAAAAGCCGGCGGAGATCAGCCAGTTCGCACAATAAAACAACAACTTTGTTTTTTTTTCTATTCAACTTGCAGTAACTTATAATGCAAAAATTTTATATTTTTGTGAAAAAGTAAAGTTTTATAAAGCAAAAATAAGTAATCAAGTCTTCAATATAAAAGTTATGACGTAGATCCGGTTCTTTTATGGCGCGTTGGCGCCTAAAAATGCATAGTTGATTAGAGAATGGAGATTAGCTCTCCCGAATTCCGTAGCATACCGCTAGACACGAGACATGCCCGAGGAATTTCCGTCGCATTGATTTCGCGAAACACGTAGTGTGGGTGACAGCGAGTCCGGTGCGTGTTGCAGTGTTGCGCGCCAATATATTTCGCGCGCGTACTGACCACTGCGGTTGTGTGTGTGTGTGTTTACGTTGTGCGTGACCCGCAGCAATCATGCCACGCTGCTGTTGCGTGCCGCTGTGCAAGTCGAACGCCAAGAACACGCCGCACGTCGGCTTCCACGAGTTTCCGGTGGATGCGAAACGCCGCGAAGCGTGGCTTCGCAACATTTCCAGGAACGGTCACGGTGGAAGGGGCCCGAACTGGACGCCGAGGGACACCTCCCTTGTCTGTTCCCAACACTTCAGGCAGCAGGACTACAAGACGAACGCCAAGATTAGGCTACTGTTGCCGAACGCCGTGCCCACGGTGTTTCCCCCACAACCGGGCAAGAAAGCCGTGCCGACGGCCAGGAAGCGGTTTCAACCGGAACCAACCCGGAACCACAACAAGCTGGTGAAACGGGCTGGCGCCGTTGCTTCGCTGAAGTTCACCGTCAACAAGAACGGCACGTTCCAGGCCAGCGGCTCATCTAAACAGGCTGCCGCGCAGCAGGCGGTCCAAAACGGCGACGGTAGTGTGAAAGACGAGTCAAGTCAGACGTCTTCAGGGTCCGACGCGAACGAAACGACGCGGCGCCTTCGAGCGAAAGTCGCCCACCTTCAGGAAGTGACGCGGAGGCTGCAGTGCAAGCTCGACGAAGCCGAAGAGCGAGCCGAGTTCTACGAGAACAACAAGGATATCGACCTTTTCATGAAGGTCATCGATGCGGCAGCGCTGGGCGACGAGACGGCGGAGTTCATTGTCAACGAGGTGTACAGTTTTCACGAAGACACCAAACTAATATGACACCGGTCGGGGAAAAGGCGATGTTTTGGGAGGGTCTCAGCGTGCAAGAGGTAGAAATTTTTTAAACTTTGTTGCCACGCGAACGTCACAAAGAATGTCGGACCACTGGAGTTGAAGGCGACGTCGCTTCACTAATTATAAAGCGTCTGTGTAATGCTACAAAACAAGGCCATCATTCAATATATTGTGGAGTGGACCAGCTCAGGAGGTGATGGGGCCAGCACAGGCAAGCGTTTGTGTCTCAAGATGTAGTGTAAGACAGCATCAGTGCCACAGATCACTTGCCATGTTTCATGTCGACGTCACACATCATGATCATTGTTCCACATAATGTTGTTTGTTGTTTGGAAAACTGTTGAACCTATTTTCGTTGTTTATTGTAACAGAAGGTGGGTTACTGCGTTGGATAGTAACACAACTGTCAAGCCGTGAACCCCCCACTTGATAACAATTTTGTCTTCTTTTTTGAAAAAAATTTCATGTGGACAAATTTTTTGGAAGAAGGTTGATAGATGATTGAGAAGTGATTGGCAAAGTGTCGAGACTTGACAGACTGCATAGACATGTCGAAGTGGAAGCAGCGCTGACGTGGCCTCGTGTTGAGCTTAGAGATTTAATGAAGATAGCCGTGACCATGGCGACCTATGCTTCATTGTGACACTTCAGTAATCATAAAAAAAGTCGTCCATCCGCATCGAAGAACGTAGTACCACCAGTCACAAACAACAGCCTTCGCATTGCAAAAACTGAAAAAATGAGACTTTTATCACTGCCAATAATGATTGACTTTCAAATCTGGGAGCCTGCTCTATAATCTTGAAAGCATTATCGCTGCAAATGTACAAACTATTGCTATTGAAGCTTACAACACTGCCAAAGTTCTGCGTGACAGTTCTGCATTGAGTGCCTTTTTGATCTCATCAAGTGAGTATCATTCTTTTAAATCTAACTTTTAAATGCATAGCTTTACATGGCTAGTTCTTTATAGAATTATGTAAACACAAAAAACCCTCTGGAATACTACAGTGTAGATGAAACACAAAGCAAACGTAAAAACAAAAGACTAAGATTCTAGTGCAGAATGTTAATAAAACAGTATATATAGATGTGTCTATTCTTGTGAGACACGCTGCCATAATTGTGAGAATGGTGTGCAATGCATGATGTCGGCGCACATTAAAGAGCACCAGATGGTTGAAATTCCTGATGCCTGTAGAGGTCCTCTACTACGGCGTGTTGATATCATTGTTTCGGGACGTAAAACCTCAGATATATTGTTACAGCATAAACACGATGCAGTCACTGAGACGTATGCTCCCCGTGGGCTCAGTAACGACGGATTGAATACTGATGTCATTTGCGAGTTCCGTATATGCAGGGGCGTAGTCAGGGGGTGACACACCAGGCCTGTGCCCCCCCCCCCAAATTTTCACGCATAGAGAGGAAAAAATGACCACTTAAAAGGGGTGCCCTCTCCGAAATAAATCAAGAAGGTGCCGCCCTCTCCCAAAAACAAATGTCTGGCTATGTGCCCGTGCATACGCAGAGATTTTTATGGAGTACTGGCTATTGAACAATGCTACCAACATCTTGTGATGCTTCGTGTGGCCACAAATATAAGTGCGCTTTTTTGTTTTAGCTAAGTGACCTTGGTGCAATAATGTTTGAAAAATCAGCACATTGAGGACTGCCTGCCACGAATTAACCCAGTGGAGGAGTATAACACATTAGATATCTGTAACGATTCAGTGCTTGCCTGGCTCATCTCAGCGCCGGCAGACGGCCACACCTACCCACATTTGTGACTGACATTTGCGATTCAATAATCTAGTATGCTAAAGCAAAGGGTGCCAACTTAAATTCTTTAAAGTTAATTTCATAGATTTTTATGACGATGCGAAGCACTTGGAAAAATGCAAGAAAGTTCTTTGGCGGAGAAAAAAATCTCATCTCTTCGGTGAAGTCTTACGCCGTTGCATGCGGGAAAGGAAAGTGGGGCAGGGGTACGAGGCCGAGCCGTAGTGGCTGCACAATGACAAATAAAGTTGGTTGTGGTTTGTCATTCAGGGACGCACTACTCGCTTTTGTGTGCCAATCTCCAGCCGCGCTTGTGTCCCGCACAACGTCACTCTGAAGTGAACACCCATTAGTGCAAGCTTATGTGCAACTGTCTTTAAGGAGAAAATGCCACACATTTCTAGAGTTGTGCCCGAGTATAGGTCATATTGCCTCATTTTTGTCCCAGTACCTTCTGCATAGTAGTTAAGTGTAAGCTGCTTAAGTTATGCTTTACCTGCGGTACTGTTCATGTGGAAGTGTGACACGCTAGAACATTACTTTAGCCCATTTTTAGTCTAATCACAACTTTTCACCTTGTTTATCACCATTGCTTGACAGGGCGTCCCTAGCCTAAATGCTTTAGATCCTCAAAAACGCCCCTTCTATGCACCTTTTGCGTTTTTGTCAATGCTCTTATAGGGCCCTCAAAATGGTTGTCCGCATCGGTGGATCAGTGGCTAGGGTGCTCGGCCGCTGTACCAAAGGCCACAGGTTCGATTCCAGCCGTGGCGGTAGCATTTTGATCGAGGCGAAATGTCAGCGCACGTTAAAGAACAACAGGTGGCCAAAATTTCCATAGCCCTCCCCTACGGTGTCTCTCGTAACCATATCATGGTTTTGGGACGTAAAACCTCGTGTATTATTACTATTATTGTTGATATTATGATAGGGTCCCCGAAATAGTTCTTTAGAAGTTCTGTGAACAGGTTGCATTACAACTTGAGCAAATTGTTTGTACCATAATTGAAGCCAAGCTCATTGTTACAAAGCAGTGATTAGAAAATAAAGATTGTACTCCTGTCAAGCCACTCTTGAACTCCTCTGAGTGAATAGTGTGCATGTCCACTTTCTAGAAGCCAGTGCACCATTGGGCATAGTAGCCTCACAGTGTTTCTGTGATTTATCAGTGCAACACCAGGTGCCCCGGCCACCATGGCCACGTGTATTTTCTCTTCTGGTATGAACACCAAGAAGGCACAAAAATCGTTTAGGAGCGTCGGCTGAGGATCTCGGAAGGCTAAGCTGTAGCAACCTGTTGGCTTTCTTGGTGCAACCTGTTGGCTTTCCCGATAGCTGTCTTGGAGCAAAATTATTTGCTTTAATTATGACATTGAATTAGGTTTTGTTGTGACCTAACCACTTATCTAATATTACAAAAACATTCTTTGTGCCCTTTAATAACAGCTGCTTTCCCACTCCTGGAACAACTGGAGTGGCAGGCATGCATGCATTTACAGGGTTTTGCTTATGAATAATGTTAATCACCAGCCTAATGGTGTACGGTCAGGCTGGCACCTTCTTTAACACCATCTGAGGCACCGATGAGGGTAGTGTAAAAAGAGCTCTGGCCTTGAAATTCACGGGATAAAGTAAGCGATCTAGTAAGCAAGGTTGCAGCTTGCTTTTTTACCTGCCACCCATTAACATTTGGTTCATGTTTAGATGGCAACCTTGTCTATAGCATGTAAATGCTTTCCTACAGTGCTAGAAATATATGTAGGTGCCCCTTCATAATTAGAAATGGATTTCTATAAATGTTAGGATGCATAATGTGTGCATGCTGATATCCTGTGGTATGTCCTACAACTTTTGAATCTCGTTAATACACACAGGTAGAGCGCAAGGATTGGGCTGCAGCACCAGAACCAAGTGATAGGACTGCATTGGATTAATTGAGAATGTAACAATAGCCTCAAGAACTGTTCAAGAATGGCAATATGAATTGGTACATTGATAGCATACTTGTGAACAAAATCTGAAAATATACGTAAGTAAAAAGTGACATGCCGCAATTCCTCTGTCCATTCACTTTTTTGCCTTTTAACAACGCTGGGAACTGATGCTGGGGGCGAATGATGGCCATGAAGCTGAAATTGTGTTTAAAACTGTGTTAAGGTGATGTTCGTACCACCACCCTTCATGTGAACGGGATGTGTAGATCTGTCAAAAGAAACGACTTACGTGATCAGTATTTTTTTTTTATCCCTACAATTCTACCTACAGCTTTGAGTAACAGCTATTGTCATGACTTGGTAGGAAAACGGGGGCTGCATTCAAGTGTCTCAGTAACGAAATCATTGGGGGAGTGTTCGTTCTGCCTTCCTATGCGAACTTTGCTCTAGCAAAAATCGGCAAATATGCGCTCGGGTTACAACACAACATAAATTTAATTGAAGAAGTCTCTGATCTTGCTTTCTGTTATTGCTTTAAAGGCACTTGATGGCTCGAGCCTCACTGCTTGGTCAGCTTTGCATAGCTTCATCGTCGCAGGGCACCAAGGAAAGTGCAAATGATGTCAAAAGCATTAAGAACTTCACGTGAGCTTACTTGTTTTTCTTTTGTTGCTTTTATCTTTCTCGTCCACTTTTCGTCGTCTTTGCACACACTTCCGATGATAGCGTCATCGTGGAGCTCTTCTTGCTCTATCAGGTCGGCATCAGCACAAAAAAAGTTTGGTAGTTCAACAGAATCTGGTACCGCTTCAACGACACGACAAAGTGCTGCAGTTCATGCTTCAGCCAGTAGTTGCAGGTCATAGATGTTTGTAAAAGAAACTCCCACTTCGTCTCTGGCATTTTCTAACTTCTAGGTTCTCAACTATCTCATGGGTTAAAAAATTATTTGCTATCACCACCTCGAACTTTCGCTATTGCTGAAGTGTTTCTTGAAATTTCTTCGCTGTCGAGAGGGGGTATATGTATTAAATTTTATGGATGTTTGCTGGGGATCACCGCATATCTTCTATGTCACAGCAATTTTTTTCTTAAGGGTTTTTGTTATTGAGAGGTTCAGCTGTACTCGCATCCAGCATCATTTGACTGTTTTGTAGATATGAGAATCACTATCCCTTCATATCCACGGAATGGGTCATTGTGTTGAGAATTATTGTTTAGTACATTGATTGACCACAAATAGTAAATGTGGTGTGAGCACGATTTCGCGCTCTTGGCATCATTACCAGTTTTAGTGTAACGTTTCGAACCTAAAGGCGGTGCGTCAGACTCCAAGAACTGGTTTGGCACGATTTGTGTTAAGCGTAGTGATGGTCTACTGTTTAAATAGTTTTGGAATCGCTTGAGTAATGGGGGGGGCAAGCGTATTCCGATAGTTTTGAAATTTTCGCGGGCATTTTACACAATAGTAGACCATTACTAGACTTAACACAAGCAGCACCAAAACAGTTCCGGGCATGGGCATGCGCACCATGTGTGAACTTTTTATTTTTTTTAAGCATAGCTCCTGCGAGTCGAAAAAGTTCACTTTTGGCGACGGCATAATTCATGGATAACCTGACAAGTATGCAGATACGCACGTGTACACAAATTGACCCTTAAAGGGACACAAAAGGCAAATATTGTCATTGTAATCACTGAAATAGTGGTGCAGCAATTTAGTAGTGCTACATTTGTACCAAGCAAGCACGTATTTTGAAATAAAATAACGATCTAGTGGTTCGCACTGCGTTAGCGCACTTCAAATCTTCCACCTGAAAGTGGCCGTCTCACTTCACTGTTGCCGTGCACAAGGTTGCCCGGTTTTACTGGCTGGCCACCGACACTAGTAGCAGCAGAGTGAAATCAGCGGGAGCCACAGCAGCAAGAACGACAATTGAAAAGTTTTACCAATGGCCTCCGAGATGGTAGGCATGCTTTGTTCAACTGGGCCCACCTAGATGGCACAACCTGTCCAGTTTAACCAGGCGAAAATTGAACTTTTGAACCACTCACACCCATTCCTGATAGTAATGTCCGGCAGTTCTTTTTTTCTATGAATCAAACAAATGAACAAGCAGCATTTTATCGTGTCTTTTGATGCATAGAAGGTTCTTTATTTAGTGCAGCTAGCTCGTTTACTAGTGATTAATTGTAGGCAGTAATTCCGATGTGATTAGAATAATTTTGCAAAAGTCCTACTCATAGCGCATGTGTTCTCGTGCATTTACCTCAATTTCTCAGCAAGTAGGACACTGCTGTTGATAATACTATTGTCGTTTTAGATGTTGCCATACATTCAGTTTTCGCTCTGACATATATTATTTGACTTTAGTGTCCCTTCAAAGGTGCACTGGTCCCATGCATATTTGTATAGGCCATTTTCCAATGACTACTGCTCTCTTTATCATAAGCTTGCTGGCCATAAGCCATTTCTGATATGGAGATGTGGTATTTTGAGGTCACTTTTATTTGAAGGTTTAGCAACGAGCATGTTGGGATAGCTGGCAATATATTAATGCTTCTTTAGCGAAACAAGCGAGACGACAGAGGAAAATATTAACACACACAAGTGATAACTTGCAACTGGGTACAAATTGCGACACTCTAGAGTGATTACAGTGTTTACTCAATCGACACGCGGCCACAATTGTAATGCCAGGGATAACTTTTCATTGCGTTGAGGAAGAAAAATAGTTATTTTAGTGTTTGGTTGTAACTCGAGGGTTGACTTTAGGTGGCAAAAAACTGGTTAAACTCGAGTGAATAAGCTAACTGGTGAGCTCACGTGAAAGGAAACACATTCCGAAACAGAAATCTTCTACGTAACTAATCACTGGCCATTATCACATGCTGTATTTAGGAACAAGTTATTCCATTTCGTTGTTGCCTTTCATTGTTTCACACGTGACTTTCGTTGCACGTAGCAACAGAAGTGCTTTGCTGCTAAGCATGTAGGCGAACGTCTGAATCCTGGCATGAAGGAAAGAAACGGTGCAAGGGAGCATTGCACAATGCAGTGGAAAGAAGTAGAAAGAGTAGTTCAGGCCTACTGTTTCTACAAGCCAAGCTTTGTTTGCCCCCATTTTCCCCATAGGAGAAGGGCTCCCATTTTTCTGTGCTTGATAGCGATCTACAGTGCTGAAATGGTACCAATGTTGCCTTCATCTTAAAACTACGATTCTAAAGGCAGCAGGAACCAGAAAACACTCGGAAACTATGCTCTAATTCCCAAAACACATGAACGAAAACTCAACCATGCCTACATTGAAATGCGCATATATTGTTTAGAATGCATAATGTTTTGCCAACTGTCGAAGGACGACTGTACAGTTTCATCATGACGTGAAATTTAAACGCCGAAGTTGTTTTGCCGTTAATGAACCAATGCGTGCTTTTTGGCACATGCAGGCATAAGTGTCGCTAGAAAATATGTTGATGTGGCTTATCTTATTATGGATGCTCTTAAGAAATTTGAGAATCGGCTCACATAGTTCATGGTGCATTGGTTATTAGGAGAGGCGTTCATCCTGCAGTGGACGTAAGACTGGTTGATGATGATAAGCAACTAAGGGCATGATTAGGTTGGGCTGTGTTGTTGCTTTTGAATATAGGTTGTTCTAGAAGTAGAAGATTGGCCATATTTTTCTATTTTGTGAGCACACAATTGCTGAAAAGTGGCCAGACATTTATGAACAGTCTTTAGGCTGTCTTGCCCTTAGCCAGACGTTCCACAACTAATTTTTCAATGCTAACGTCAACTGCCTCTCTTGTGTTGGCTGCAGTTTTATAGTTTTTATGTGTTACATATCTGCAGTTATGAATTACCAGAGCACCCAGCGCATATGGAAAAATCGGTACAGTTGGACTGCAAGTTGAAATCGGTTTGCTAATTCATACAGGAACGTACATAGAATAATGTTGCCGTAACTAATAGCACGTGCCGGGGCTTGTCTTTTGCACCCGTTCACGTCAGAAGTGCCAGGTTTACATATTAAGTATCGTGGTGCAATCAAACTGCACTTGAACACAGTTTTCACCAATTGACTAGCCACCATTAGCTGGGCTAACTGCATTGCAGGAAAGCTAGCTTCACAATTATGAAAAGGGTCTGTCACATTCGCACATTTTCATATCAAGCACTAATGCATGTTCAAGATAGTTCAATATTTTTTTTGTCCAGAGGCGTGTTTGTGCCACTGTCTTCGTATAGGAAACCAGCGTGCCAACAAATTTTGTGAGAGATGACATTACAAGTTCTCGGCGAGATGCAATACTTTATTCAGAAAACAGACTTATTTTGAATATGGCTGGCATTTCCATCATCGGAGGGAAAATGTGACTTCCTCGTACGGAATACTGGCAAGTGCACTGCGGAGAGCTAATATTTATTCCTAGGTTATAACGACCTGTAGCACAATTTGAAGTTTCGTTCATTGAGCGAGTTTCAGGTTTTAAGATGTGAATCGCTGCACTACAGTTACGTAAATTAGCTGGCTTAGGTTATGGAAGCACCTGATTTGTAAGAAATTTATACACTCAGACCTCCATATAATGAAAATGGTTATAGCGAATTAAATAACTCTTGCAATAGATGTAGCGTTCAGAATAAACGTTTATAATCAATTTTTGGACATAACTTAAAGGTTCAAGTGTATAGTTTCTTTCCAGGTGATAGGTGATTGAAGTCTGCAAAGGCAGCAGACGACCACGTAAAAAAAAAAACAACGTACCAATGAGTCTATAAAAAACAAATGAACTTACCCTCAAGTCGTAACCAAGAAACAAGAAAGACAAGTCACCAAAGGTTCATAAACTGCATTTTATTGTGAGTGGCTTCAAAAAAGCCAAGTAGCTTACGGTATATCAACTTGTGAACAGAAGCGCCAATGCTCGCACCAGTAAAAAATATAACCGGTTCATGTTATTAAGACTCATAAAATGACAAAACGAGCAAAAAAAAACATGCAAGACTTGTCGGAAGTTAATTGTGCCCAATAATACATAGGACATTTCTGACACAAAGAAAATGATTTTAAATTTTGTTTGGCTTGGTAAACTTTGCTAAGAAACTGCGACGGGTCAGCCTCTTAAAAAGTCATTTCTTTGAGTACAATACGTCTATATCATTATCATTCCTTCAATTAGTGTGAATACAAAACATTCGCCTGTGTGACCTGTTCAACTTAATTTTCTGCCTCCCTCTAATAAAATAAATAAGGTCATTGACCGATTTCTTAGGAGTCTGATCTGCTGAACTTGCCAAATAAATCAGTCACCTCCAAGGCATCAGCACATATCACACAGGAACAGCGTACGACTCTTGAAATTTTCGTTTCAGAAACTCTATGATATTCATTATTTTAGACTTCCTGCCATGATCGAACTTCGCAGCTTTTTTCATCATCCCCTTGCCTCGTACAGCAATCTAGTTACAGCTGCAGCAGTTACCAAAAAGGTGGCTTTGCTGTACTGCAGCAAAACATAGCATCTATTCGTTAATTTCAGACTCACATACTCGGGCTAATATCACTCTTCACATACCAATGTGCCACGTATGTGTGCTGGCAGGCTTCCAGAGCTGTTTAGAAAAGTAGCAGCCTTTTTTTTTATGATTTCATGGTTCTAATGAAATCTGAAAAAAAACAAAAAAAAACGAACATGATGACGAGGCTAAGCCGAGTGTGTGTTGTTAAGTTATCGTTAGATATTCAAGCAAATGCTAAGACTTTTTCTTCTTCTTCACCTCCCAGTCCATGATGTCAATTGAGACATGACAACCACAGTACATGACAAGCAGTGTTGGCACCAGGGGAATCGGGTAGCCTGAAACAGGAAACCATCGGGCAGGTAAAAACAACACATCAGTCAAGAATAAGCAGAACTTTAACGTAGAAACTACACATACACTTTTTCGTACACAAAAGGACTTGAAAAGCATCAAAACTGACAAGAACGTGCCGGCTCTTTTAACGTTGCACTAGGGTAGAGTCTTAAAATGCCAGGGCACGTTTCTCTGACATGAACGTAATGTCAAGGCAGAGCGAAGTTTTCTGATAATCCTATAAAGCAACAAAGTCAGGTGCAATGACATTCACAAAGCATGTCAAAACAAGGGTGCCGAAAGAGTATCTTTTGACTCGATTCGCATCGGGAAATTCGAGAGATTGCAACAATGAATCAAGTTAACGAAGGTATTATTAATGTGAAGCAACAACGCATAAGTATCAAAATTGGTTCTTAGAAACAAGTGGTACAGTATACTCGAGTTTTTCGATGCTTCCAACATATTCAGCAGGATCTTGTCAGCGTGAACATTTCACAGAGTTAGTACAGGCTCAAGAAAAAAGCGATAAGGAAAAGCGCCGACCGCACGAACACTGTCACTGTATTGTTGCCTTTACAATTATTTACAGATCGGCAAAAATTAGTGCCATTTAATGTCAGTAATGCTGGCAATTTAAATCAAACACGACCATTTTCACAAATTCAAGATGTTTGGTCAGTGTTGAATATTCATTTAAAAGATTTTGGGAAAGGTTCAAGGCGATTTATTTGGGCAATTTGCTGTGCAGCATCCTTGAGATGCAGGAAGATGTGTTTACAGGCACTTTTGCTAGATGACGCCACTATATCCACTTGAGTTACGAGATCGAGGCTGACTGCACGTTTTCTGACTGCGTTGTCAGTCTCAGCACATTGCATTGCGCTTTTCGTTGACACGTACTTACAATTTTATTTCATGTGAGCTCACTTGCATCAATTACGATGGAAACTGTTAAGCCTAGCATGCAACGCAGAGCTGTTCAAACGCGCACGATGGGTAATGACAACAATGGCAGTGTCCTTGTGGTCGGAGATTACAATGCACGGGCCTTATGGAGAACTTTCACTCGTAAGTAACTACTAACATTAGGGAACATTAATTTGTGTAAAACTGTGTGCCACTCGGCAAATTTCTTTTCATTTTGGTGGAAATTGGAAGATTCTTTGTCGCATCTGCGGCAACGAGCGTGCTTTTGTGCCATAAAGAAAGGAACTACGTTTTTAATTCGACTCTGAAAGTTGTGAGACTATGACCGCTATACTTGGTGACAAATCTTGGCATTGAAGAGAAGGCTATGGGGGCGGAACTTTTGCACATGTAGCCCTACGCGAAGCAGTCCAATTTGGCACGCGTCTCATAATGCTGTGGAAAGTGATGGGCGTGCGTCATCAGTGTTTCATGTAGATGCAGATGCTGCTTAGCATTTGAGGTGAATGTAAGAAAGCGTGACTTTCTCGCGTGTCTGAAAACGTTGTAAAGTTAAATAAATACAACTGTCTTGCTGGTGTGTGCTGTGTCCTGTCTCGAATGGCTCTCCATAAAAAAATAAAAGGGAAACCTTTATATTTCACGTTAAAAATACGGGCACTATTGTGGAACTACATTCACTGGCAGTAGGATGTACGCAGTTTCGCTCTGTACCTTTCGCTTCAATGCCAAACAAAGTCGCCGAGTATAGCGCCACCCAACGGCGGTGCGGTTCAAGCGGTCGCTAAGACCAAAAACCACACGTGTAGGCTTATTTTGCTTGAAAACAAATAATTATTGTGAAAAGTTGGATTTTGCACACTTTGGTAGCTTTACTTAGCGTCAGAAATTAAGTTTTTTTTCTTATTTGTAGAAAGAGGCGCCTAGAGGCAGTGCCAGCACGGTGTTTATATAATTGTTTATCATGGAGAAACGCGATCAGGACATCAAGTGCCGCTCAGAAGAAAAAAAAAATAATGACTACAGTAAGACATCTAAGCACAACTGAAGAACAGCAAGGACCTTCTCTTCTTTGAAGCATGTTTCATGTTCATTTCAGTCGCATGTTTGGCGACTGAAACCAAAGAGCCAAAGTTTTTATCGCAAAAATCCTGGCGTACCAGTGTTGTTGGAGCATGCCAAGTTTTCTGCTCATTTGCAGTGCTTTTTCAAGGTAACTAAAAGATTGAAAGAATGCAGTATAAGCTCTCAACTACCATTATGGTAATCGCTTTAATATGTTACGAGAAGGAGACTGACTCAGAAGGGTAGTCACCGATGTATTTTCAGCCGGTTAGGCAAGCAGCGCCAGCCACACAGATTAGCTCGCGCCAGTCTATCTGCTTTGTCTTCTTCAACTCCATGCACTGGCACATAGCATGACCCCCGGCGGCGTAGGCACCGTGCCGGTGCTTTAAAGGTCGTTATCTGATGCATTCTTGTAGGGCTTGATCTGCGAGACATGTACAATATCACTGGGCCGCATAGTAGATGATGATGGACAGATGGGGCTGATCTCGTAGGTGACAGGTGTTACTTGACGCAATATACGGTAGGGTCCCGTGTAATGAGACAGAAGTTTTTCGGATAGGCCCAGCCGACGATGAGGGGACCAGAGTAAAACGAGGGTACCGGGATCGAAATGTACGTCTCTATGTTCCGCAGCGTACCGATGGCATTGGTTGGTTTGCGACGCCATCAGCCGAGCGTGAGCGAGCTGACGGGCATGATCGGCTCTCGCAATCGCGTCGCAGGCATACTCGCTGGTGGACGAGGTGTGAGCCGAGATGACTGTGTCCAGTGGTAAAGTTGCTCTCTTCCGCACAATAAGTAGAACGGAGAAAAGCCCGCTGTGTCATGACGGGATGAATTATACGCGAAAGTTGCGTAGGGTAAGGCAAGGTCCCAGTCTCGGTGGTCGGGCGACACGTACATAGCGAGCATATTTGTTAAAGTGCAGTTAAATCGTTCCATGAGGCCGTTTGTTTGAGGATGTAAGCGTAACAAGAAGTCAGCGACGTCTGTTGCACAGCTGGTCGGTAGAGCTCGCGTAATAGCGTAGCGTGTGGCGTAGTCTGTAATAACGGCTATCCATTTGTTTCCCAATGTTGATGTGGGAAAAGGACCAAGCAGGTCTAACCCAACACGGTAAAATAGTTCCGCGGATATGTCAATTGCTTGAAGATGGCCAGCGGGTAGCAGCGATGGTGTTTTACGATGTTGGCATAGGTCACACGTGGCGACGTATCGGCGTACCGAACGAGCAAGGCCTGGCCAGAAGAAACGGCGCCGGATGCACTCGTACGTGCGGGATACGCCAAGGTGTCCAGCCGTGGGAGCGTCGTGAAGGTCGGTGAGAACATTAACTCATTAAGCAAAACCCTATTCCGCCTGCAAAACTGCATGTGGTTTTAGTTTTCAACTTCCACCGGTATAACTATTGCCATCCCGTGCTGTAATTAGTGTCATGGTGTTTCTGACACTAATAAAAGATGACAGAACGTAGATAAAAAAATTCTGTTTAAAAATTTCTACTCTTCTTTCTAAGAAACACCTGCAGGGTTGGATGTGCACTTCAGATCGTACGCTTTCTATTTGGACACAAAGCAAAAAAAACAATAAAGCACGGTAGACAGTCTCTTTAAAAAATGACAAAGTTTGCCCAAAAAGGCAGAGCACGTTACCGGCAACGGCACGCTAATGTGGGGACACGAGTTCCATTTCCGATCACAGCAGTCACATTTCAAAGGTGGCAAGCACAAAGGTGCTTGCGGTTACATTTGCATGAACGAGAAAAGGCGCAGTCATATTTACTGCAGATCCTTCTGCTATATTGTCTTCCATTGCACTAGTGTCAGCACGATATTGGACCCCATGAATCAATTAATCAATTAGTCAACAAGGGCTCATGTCCAGAAAAAAACAAACATCTAAGGGACGCACACACAAAAAAAAGAAGCAATGGAGCTGAATGGAACTAAATGAATGTAACATTCTGGTTCGTAATTCTTCAATGTAACATGATTTGATAGAAGTGATGACATCCAGATGATGTCATCACTTCTTTTTCAAGCAACATTTCCAGATGATGACAACCACAAAAGTGTGGTGCGGCTTTCAGAGTGTCACATTGGCAATGAGCAATGTGTTACCACAATGCGTGCAAGAACACGTTGCACCAACACAGACAGAGCAGAAGTCGGATATAAAATAGCTCACGTTAATTAAATGCCGGGTGCTCGTAAAGAGGACCAGGCAAGCACTTCGTCTTTCTTCCTTGCTTCGCGAGCTCTTCTTTGCAGGTTGAATGCAACATTTGCCTCCCTCCAGCAAGAGCACTGTTCCGATGCTCTGCTACAAAATATGCGGTGTATGTAGTTGACGTATTATGCAACTGGCTCACTGCAATATGGCTTCATCCACACAACGTGTACAATTTTTGATTTTGCCTGGGTAATTCGCGAGGAACTGTCAGGGGTGTCCTCATAGTTCACGTCACTTAGGCGCCACACAACATTGTAGGGACCGAAGTACTTCTTCAGTCACTTTTCAGAAAGGCCGCGTCAGTGAATAGGGCTCCGGACCAACACTTTCTCGCCTGGTTGATAAGAGACGTATCAATGTCGCAGGTTATAACATTGTGCGTCATGACTCTGCTGCCAAGCGATTCACACGCATGCTAGCTCCCGCGCCTCTTCAGCTCGTTGGGTAAAGGCTTGAGCAACCGTGTCTGTATCGTCGCAGTCGTGCAGCAACATGGCATCAAGCATTTTCGTCACTTCACGGCCATAAGGAAGACTAAATGACGTGCTTCGGGTAGTTTCCTGCTGTGCCCTATTATAAGCAAGCGTTGATTAACGATTGATATGTGGAGTTTAACGTCCCAAAACCACCATATGATTATGAGAGACGCCGTAGTGGAGGGCTCCGGAAATTTCGACCACCTAGGGCTCTTTAACGTTGTGGGGATCTGAGGCGCGCCTGCGACCATTTCGCGGGCATTCCGCCACACGGCCACACCCTTTCGCTTTCC